TCTAACTTATTAAAATTAAGCGATCATGTACATTATTATCTGAGTCCATTTCATTGCAATAAGTGAAAAAAGAAGAATAAAGAACAAAAATCGTTTTTTAAACTGGGAACAAATTGAAAGTTTAAAAAAAACTTTCTGAACCATAATAATCTTTCAATTTCTAATATGTATATTCAAGTAAAAAAGTGCAGTAATTCAGTGGCCAAATAAGTCTAATAAACGATATAATTATAAAAAAAAAAAAATGCACGAATTAATTCGAGCACTTTCAACAGTAGGTTTCGACTTAACGAATCTCTTAATTATTTCACACATATTTAAGGATATTGTGCATTCCAATTTGCATTTCAACGATGTACTTCATACTAAAATATGAAAAAAGAAAAGAACACTTTTTACACGTGTACTAGAAGACCAACTTTTTCACGACGGCGTTATTCTTTATCATACAAACCGTCGCGAATATATATTTAATTCGTAAAAGATTTTCAATGTATTGTGCCATTTTAAATCCGCATGTAGTAAGGGAAAAAAGGTAATATAAAATTTCTATTTATTTTGAATTTTTTTGGAGAAAATCTCTTCGGTAAGTTATAAGTTTGTAAAATGTTAATTTAATTCTCTTGTCGTTAATGGATAATTATTTTCAACGACAGTGTAAAATTATTGTAAATGTCGTACAATTGTATATATACATAAACGTTATTTCTATCGTGTTAAGGCGCCATATCTGTCATCGTTTACTTATTATTAAAGAAATTGTTTATAAATCGATACTATTTACTCTCTTCTCGCATCCCTATCTAGCATTATTATAGAAAAATTATAATTGACTGCTAATATATTTTTGAAAACTTTCTTTTTAAATATAAAAATCTTTTTTTTATTTTTTTTTTTTAAGATCTAAAATTAAATCAAAATTATTGAAATTTATGATTTGTGAAATAAATTATAAACATTTCACATAAAAAAAGCAGAGAAAAAAAATTAAATTTATAGAGTTGCATAATAAAAGATTTGATACTATGTTATGAAGATGAAAAATGAAAAACTAATTTTCTGATTATGTTAAAAAATCATAGGTTCGTACTTCAAAAGCTGTGATAAAGAAACTTGTTAATTATCCCGAATCGATTAACCGTAGTTACTAATAATAGCGGGGGAACTCGCGACGAGAAGAGAGAAAAAAGTGAGCGAAAACAAAGAAACTTTATTACCGGAGGCCTGCTGCTGCAAAGATTAGGGGATGTATTAGGAGAAAAAGAGGGGGAACGGGTACAAGAGCATCGTCTCATCGTTGTCGCGTCATACGGGGATATTTTGCTCGGGCAAAAAAAGAAAAAAAAAAGAAGAGAGAAGGGGGTTCTCTAAGTGTTTTTAGCGTCTGAGGAAGAAGGGTCAGACTAAACCAGGCCATTTTAATCCTTGTAAATTTCTTTTCATTCATCAGGCTCCTCATCTCTTATTTTCCTTCTTCAAATTTTCCTTCTTCGCAATTTGCAATCTTCTAAATGGCTAGAAATTAATGCTCTTCAATAAATGCTCTCTCCTCATACCTTCTTTCTCCTTTATCGCAATTTTATATAGATACCTATCGTTTTACTATTTATTCGTTTTTAAGAATCTTCCTCCTACTTCTGTTACAGATTATTTCTTTGGAGGGTCGAAGGAACTTCTTATCCCTCCCCCTCCCCTTTCCCTCCCCCTAAATCTTATCCTTCCCAATTTCTATCCCGGAACCTTTATCCAGATCATGGCTTCGATCTCGAGACCGCTAAAAACGTACCTACTCTACCCCATTGTGGCAAAAAGAATCGGCGGTGGCGGGACTAGCGCATTTTCAGAAGGGGTTCCAGCAGCGGTCGGCCCCCGGGCTCTCTCTCCGCGCGAAAGCAGAGGGGAAGTACATCGTCAGAGGCGTACACGGCCGGGCAACGACTACCGAACGATGTACTAACGAAAGAAAATCGATATGCATGATTCACGCACGCGAGAGAGGACGCCTCGAAGGGGGTCCAAGGGGCAGGGGTACGCAGGGGTGGGTATATACGTACGGTGAAAGGCTGTAGGAGAGGCAATAGAGGGGAAGGGAGAACGGAGAGCCACTCTTCTCCCTTCGTGCTCCCTTTTGCCGCGAACTAAGGGGACGGAGAGAGCTGTATGC